GTATTTATATAAACTTATAATATTTCACTAATAATTTATTTAATTAAAAATTGCTTTCAATTATTACAAATATAGGCCTGCAGTTTAAATAAGTTAAAAAATATATTAATGAAGTTAATTTTTTGAATAAATTTATAAAAATAATTACTAACAAATAAAATTAGTAGTTTAAAAAAGTTTTCATATAAATTATTATACAAAAAAAACTAATTTTATATGATTTTTTGTATTAACATAATATATTATTTTTAGTAATGAAAACACTTAAATGCAATAGATATAACATGAAAATGTCTCATAATAAAAAACATTAAAAGTGTATTCTAAAAACTATATGTCTTTTAAATAATATCTGAACAAAAATTATATAGTTGTATATTAATAATAATGCTATCCATTGATAATAAATAACTATTACATTATCTAAAAATATAATAAATATGAACAACAAAAATATTTAAAATTTTTAGATTACAAAGACAGTCTCCAATTATTAAAAATGTATTCTAATTTATTCCACTATTTAGCAATTGTATTAAATATAAATGAAACTGATCTATCGTTATTTAAAAAATGTTAAAGTATCTCCGAAATATTCAAATATTCATGGATTATTCATCTGTAAAGGTATATATCTTACAATAATATTCTGTATTACAGTGAAACAAACATTTATATATTAATATGTAAAATTATTATGAATTATTTCAAGTTTTATAATTATGCAATTTAATACAGTAATTTTTCATTGTTTATAAATATTTGTATATTTTAAAAAAATAGAAAATTTTTAAAATGAAAGAGTTCACAATATATATATATGTAATATATGTGTTATTTCACATGCTCAATATTATGATAAAATAAATAATTAAAATTTAAAAATCTGATCTATTAAAAGTAAATGATTCAAATATATTTCTATCTTCAAATTCTAATATAAATAAAACAATTAGTTTTGATGTTGCCTCTGTTATTAATTTATTATGTTTTTAATTACTTCTAACAACTGAAGTTTTGCAAATATAATCCTATACAATTTGCAATAATTACACTTTATTAAAATCATAATTATCTTTGACATTTTTATTTTATTGAATATGATATAAATTTCAATAAAGTCAACATATAATTAATTTTAAATGTTCATTTCTATTAAAAAATTGCAATTTTCCAATTTAAACATAAAATTTCTGATGAATATATATTTTAAATTATTTTTAAAAATTATATATTATTCATTTAAACTTAGCCACCACAATTACAAATTCATCATAACTTTGCACAGCTGATAGCAACCAACATCGCAGACATCAGACAGATCAATATGCACACTCCTTCTGTTGATGAACAGAACAAGCAGGCAACACTTTTAGAAATAAATTCAATTTAGAACCTTACAATCTATATTTGTTAACAATATCACAAAGGCCTAATATTTTATTTTACATACTTAACTTGTTAAAATACTTTTATTTTTAAAAACAAACAAGATTTATTAAATTATATTTTTTTTATATTTGATTTTAAATTATAACAAATATATAAAAGTAGAAATTATTTAAAATTTTATAAAAATAATTAGGAATATTACAAATTTCAATATCTGCATTAATATAAAGCATAAAATTCCAAAATTGTTTTTTCTTATTATTTTTATAAATTTCAAAACAACATTTTAAATTTTTTATACAACAACAAATTCCGAAATAATTAAAAAAATACATTTTACACTTTACAAAAATTCCATTTTTAATTATTTCATTAACTTTTTCTTTATATAAATAGAAAAATAAAATGATAAAAATTCTGTAGTCATTTTATGTTTTGGATATTAATTCTACATAATTCTTATTGGATGTAGGAATTAACATTAAAAACATTTTTTAAAAAAATAATAAAATTTGACATAAAAAAAAGACAGGAAAACAATCAAAGTTTGTTTGTTTATTTTTATGTAAATCTATAAAAATTTTGTTTAGTCTGAAACCAAGATTAGAAAATATTAAAGCTGGAATTTTAAGATCTGAAAATATTACACAAAAAAAAAAATTAAATAAAATAGATTAGATTTTTACACAAATAAAAAATAAATATTAAATAAATACAAGTAACATTATATTTTGGTGACAAATTTTATAAAAACGAAAATAATTAATTATTTAAATTTTGAATGTAATGCATTAAATCTTATTTAAAACATAATTTAAATTCATTTAATTTAAAAATCGAATCGTATAATTACATTACATATATATGTATACAGTATATATTCAATAACGAAGAAACACCAATCTTGTTTTCATATTTGATAAGAATATAAACAATGATAGAGTCAATAGGTTATGTTAATCGCAATTCTTTCGTATACGATTGGTTTTATCGGATGTTTATTATTAAAACTAGGAGTTAATAATTTAAGTAATTAAACCATTGCTTACGTTCAATTCCTTCATTCCGGTGATTGCTTCCACTTCGTAGACGTCTTTTTCGTCTTCTACCAGACGACGTCCGATGTCCATCGAATGATGTTGCGTTTCCTCTTCTTGGAGCATCGAAATCTCCAATATATTATTAACTTGACTTACGATTGATTAGATTCGTAAAGACAATATTTTATTTTACAAACCATCAAATGTTTTCGGATTCATAGTTAATAACTTTGACTCTTCCATTTCTCCTCCATCCGATCATTTGATGATGTTGCTATAGTAACGACTAATGAGAGCGCATGCGTAGTTACCAGCAGACGATTACTTATCTCTATGGTAACTGTTCCCTGGTATCAACGCTATCGTCTGTTATAAATAAATTCATTAATTATGCAAATCACTCGGGTTGAAATTATATACATCGCGTCGTCGTCCTCTTCTTCCTGCGTGTTAATAATCCTTGGGAATTTTTACTGCCGTCGTTCATCGCGTCTACAAATATGCTTTCGGCGTAAACTAATTTGCGCATGTGTGTAATCTCCCGTAAGATTAATTGAATGTTTGTTTTGCGCAGTCTCACAAGCGACGAAATATAAAATCAAAACAAAAAAATAATAATTTAATTAAATTTCGTACGTTATATATATATATATATATATATATTTGNTATGAGAAAAATCATAAATATATATTGATTTTGAATTATCGTGACTCTTGTAGATAACATTCGACGCTTTATTTTCAGGAGTATTTTCTTGTTTGAAAAATAAAATAAATAATTCACAAAAATTAACCAAATATATTCCTGTTTTTATTGATCTTCTTCGTATGTAACAATATTTCCTTTTGTTATACAGTTCTTATAAAGGTAAACAATGGCACAGGTTAATGTATCACCGAATTTAGTGAATGTAGTCATTTATTATCTTTATAGGATTTTGCAGATACGAAGAATTACCTGACATATAATATAAAATCTGTTGGTTTGTTTAGCTCAGTGTATCACTGCTCAATATTTCTACACTTAATCATTATTAGCAAGATAAATAGGCTATATAAAAAAATGATGATGTATTTCTCTGAAATTCATATTGTGGTTTTGGAATGCTAGTTTTGAAGGAATATATTCAATAAAATAGCAAATACCTTGGCTTGCAAGATTATTAATTAGATTAATTTTATATAAATAGAATACATTAAATTCACAGCAATATCAGTTTTAATTGTATAAATTCTTATTTGATAACCTTTTTAAATTAATTGTATAAAGATACACTTAATTTCCAAAACTTGAGGGGAAAACTAATAGAAAAATCAAACTTTTAAAAAATATAATAAAAATAAAGTGCCAAGATATATCAATATTTTTTTCCTTCTTGTGAGTATAAATTAAATCTAATCTAAATTATACTCAAAAAAGAAAAGAAAAAATATATATACAATTAAAATATTACTAAAGTTTATTTGATTATTCATATTTATATAAACTAAAAAAGTTTTATAATGAGTAAATAAGTTTTAATTATAAGATAGATGTTTATTATTATTATTAGAACAGGTTTCTAATTTATTTTGTCAGAATCAAATATGCCAAAATAATATTTTCAAGAAGAAAATTTTAAAAAATGAATAAATTTAAATAACTAGAAGAAATAAATTATAGTCTACGCTAATGAAGTCGCAAATATTAAATCAAATTTTATTTAATATCTAGGGCTATATTTTAAATTAAATTATTTATATTCAATAAATAGATAATCTCGTGTTATTATTTCGGTGTATTTCCTTCTAACGAAATAAATTAAATCTAAAGTGTAATAATCTTATAAACTTTATTAATTTTTTTTTTTACATTATCAGTAGATTTTAACTTAAAAAATTCAGCTTTCACATTTTTTATCACTAAAAATATTCTTATATCATTTTTAAGCATAAAAACAAAATATATGAAATCTTTATATAAACTTAATGTACACATTAATTACGTGTATAATTTTAACCCACTTTCCACCTCTTCTTCCATGTCGTGTACAGTACATTGATGTACTGTACTTTTAGCAAATCCCTTCTCCTTTAATTGTTTACAACCCCCTTGCATTGAAGAAATGACTAAAAAGTTCTTCAAATAGTTTCTAATAGTTTATTCACACGCAGTGGCGTAGCGAACATAACTGGCGCCCGGGGCACGACACTTTATTGGGCCCCCAGAAACACATATAGTTTGTCTTGGAGACCATTTGGGCGCCCCTTTACGAGTGGCGCCCGGTGCATGATACACCCTTGCACTCCCACTCGCTACGCCATTGTTCACACGATAGTAAGTAGACTTATAACAACAAATATATATGCACTAATACTACTAAAAAATAGTCCATTTAGACAATGCCTCGATTTCTCCCTTCCCATACACACACACATATATATATATATATATATCCTCCATAATCTGTAAGAACATTGAGATTAAGGGCAATAACAGCACTAGGATTTTCATTCTGGGGGGATGGAAGTGGGTGGAACATTGTTTTAGTGGTATGAGTGTTATATGTATATTTTATCATCAAACAAATTTTTAAAATATAGTAAACAATTTTCAGTAAGACAAAAGTGGAAAAAAAAATTTAGTGAGAACATGTAATTACTTTGAAAACAATCAGTTAATAATTAAAGAAACTTATAATAACAATCAATATAGAAGTCTTTAATAAATTATTTCAGGATAGGCAAGGAGATTTAGAGTGAGCTGGTAGTCATCCTTGTTCATCCTAGCATCATCNATATATATTATATTTATATTTATCGTCAGTATTCTATAAGAATATTTTAAATAGCGAAAAATTTTGAAACGGAATTATTTAAATTAAAAAACAGAATAATTTTAAAAACAACTGTTTATTATTATTTTTTTTAAGAAAGTGTAGGAAAGAATGTCTGTTTTAATGTATTTTTTAAAAGTCGGGCTAAATTTATTTAGAAAAAAATGCTATTTTAATTTGAAAATATTTATATATACATCATGTGAATTTTTTCACTTAGTTTTTCAATCCGTCAAAATTATAGCGATATATCTATGGATCTAACAAGCAAAGGAACATGTCCGCCAGCAAACAAATTTGAAGTTACAATTGATGCGAATACTTTAATACCATTGCTATTAAAATAAACAACTTGTATGAAATAAACTCGAACGCAATCACTTGTTTTTTTGGTTTTTTTTTTTTGTAAAATAGATGGTTTCAGGCAAATATAAACAAGTTCTCAACTCTGTGTGAAGTAAATAGAAATTTGTCCAATCGGAGTATTGAAGCTGGTTATGTTACTTAGGGTATCTCATTTTTGAAATTATGAGGGATATGTCCTGTCAACTATTTATTGTAACTGTGAGGGACAACAAAGTCTGAAATGTGGGATAAATTCCATGCTCTGGAGGACATAGTTTATAAATTTAAAATGTACAAAAATACTGTTTGAAAACTGTAGAAAGGTGTTTCTGCTTCGAAAACGCAGAAGTACTTATAATTCCTCATTGTAGAACAACGTTGTCTTGAATTCTTTTTGAAATTTCTAGAACATAAACGCGTTCACGTTCTTGAAATATTTTAGAATTTTAGAACAGAAATATTGTTGACAAAATGTTGTTTGAAGACACCACAAATTGTGGTATCTCTGGTACTGTCCTCCCAGATGGACAGTACCACATGTTGAAGGTTTGTCATTCAATCCTACTGATGTTTAGATCTAACATTAAGCAGGCAAACACGAACAGTAACAAAAAAGAACTTTATTAGAAAAGGTTAGAACTGTCACAGACATCCTCGGGCAACACCCGGACAAAATCCAACGAACTTTCGCGCCTTTTCTTTTTTTGACGTTGCCAGCCACTCTTGTTGGCAAGTGTTGCCAGACAGAGTTCGTGATCTCTGGCGCTGGCGGCCACAAAGGGATACTTCGAATTATCTTTGCTGAATAGAGGGAGAGAAGATAATGCACTAAAGTGGTACACAGACTGATACGGTGATGATGTAAGTGATATAAATATTAATGAGGACATGGAAGAAGAATGGTCATGCCCTTCGTGGTAGCAAAACTTGTCAAAGCGGTTCAAGCAAACAAGAACATGTCCATCATTAAAAGCAATGTTGTAATAAAACATGCTATCCATCATTTGGTTCAATGGCAAAAAAAAAGAAAAAAAACTCTCTTTTACTTCTGAAGAGTGCGATGTAGTATGTATGGCGGATTTCCGATTATGCTCACTAGGTCCGAGTCCAGAGGTGAAAGATTTTGGATCACAAAAATTCAAAATAATAATAATAAATTTTTATATAGAAACAATTCATAAAGAAATAAGTGCAAATTAAAAGCTTAAGTAGGAATAAAATAAGCCATGTCAGTTGAGTAACATGGATGGTGAGACTCGATGGACTGGCGCATCTGAAAATTTCCTCATCCGTCTTTGTTGAGTAATATTACGAGTGTTCCTCGTAATATAAAGTAGCGTGCCATCCGTGGAAGCGCCCCTTCCCTTGTATTTTCTAAAATATAAATACATATTGTGCGATTATTTTCATATTGAATTACTTACTACGTACTTTGAATTACTTAAAATTAATATTCTATTATAACCGTATTATGTATTTTATTACAAATTTCTATACATGTGAAAAACAATGATAAGATTGCTATCGTATATTCAAATCGCTGTATTTCAAAGCGCTGTGTCGTCGAATACGGGACAGCTTCCACGGCGAAAATATCTGAATGGTGTAAAGCAGCCAGATTACAGACATTCGCGCAGGCTCTTTACATAGCACCAACCTTTCGCGATTTAGCTGGTGGATGCTACACACCAAAATATCGTATAACGCTACCAATAATTCCATCCATTATCCACTCGTAGAGAGCTATTTGACTAAGTGGATTGTTTTAAGATTTAAAAAGTAAAGAATATTTTATGTTACAGTATTTTTATGTACGTTTCTTTACAAAGCTATAGACTATTTAATTATAATTATATTGACAGATTTTCAGATATAAAATCTTTAATTTTTATCACTTTTAGATGTTAATAATTTTAAATATTATAAAAAACAATTTTCCGAAACGAGTTTTAATTCATTAAATTAAGTAAATTTCATAGAGAATTTTTTGATTTATCTAATTTACTAGTGAATCGCAATATTTATATTTATGTTTAGATTATATTGGCAAATCACTCTTAGACATAAAAAGTATTATAATTAATGACGATCCGTGCAAACACGAACTAAAAAAATTATATGATTTAATATCATTAGTTTTTACGGTACTAACTACCAGTGCATCTGTTGAGCGCAGTTTTTCAACCACGAAACGAATTCATACATTAGCAAGGAACACTCGGTCAGAGGAAAGATTGTCGTCACTAGCGTTGCTTTCAATAAAAAAAGAGAGCTTTTAAATACTTTGATGGAATTGACTACAAGCAATTTTTACGATAAAGTAATTAACGACTTTGAGAAAAAAAAATTGGCGAATAGAGTTAGTTTATAAAAAATAATAAAAACAAGTTCCTATATCTTTGTTTCGTGTCATTTATCTATTTTAGAATTAAAATAAATAAACTTTTATTTTTGTCATTTCCAGTATTTGTATAAAATTTTCATGGAAATACAGCTTCCCTATCGTCAAATGTTACCTCACGCAAATATATGAATACACCGTATTTTGCATGAACAAAGTGGTAGTAATAACGGCGGGTTTTCGATAGCAATGCCTCTTGCTTCCTTTTGATATTTAAAAGTCTGCAAAAATACAATAATTCGAAATTATAAAATAAAATTATTCAATACAAAAGTGGCACTATTAGTTTGGGACGTCTGCATATTGTGGGCCTAGGGACACCATATTTCTATATGAGCCACTGGTATGCCGCATTTTCTTTATAATGTTGATATAGTTAAAACAGGTTTTCCTCTATACTGAAAATTCCTACAAAATGTATGAATATGTTCGCGTTTGATTGCCAATTCCTCAACTATGTAAACAAATTTTCCATATTCATGGCAGACTCATAGTAATATTTGTAAAATTCAGAGTTAAATTTACATACTATCCAAAATTTGATTCATAATTGTAAAAAATTTCTAATTTACTGTCTTTAAATCGAACATTTTAATTTTTTTCATAAAAATATTACTGTATTGGAAATAAGCTTTTAAAGGCTTTTTAATCACATATCCATTGTGAATTCGATCGAGCCTACAACGATAGCGGCGAGATGATGGACGGACCGTCTATGAAAAATTCTTAAGAATTTGCTCTCCCGTATTCGATCCCGGGTTCCCAAAATCGTAGGTGACGCCTTAAGCGCCTAGGACATCCAGCCATCAACAAGTTTTGTGTTATACCCACAATGCTGGAAGGATGGCCGAGCAGTTAAGATGGCAGACTACCGCTCTGGGGGGACCCGGGATAGAATTCTTAGCGGGTCGAAAAATCCCCAGGAATTTTTCAGGGGGTGGTCCGACCGGATATGTCGGCCACCGTCCCTCACCACCCGGCCGCCCATTGTGGGCCTGGCCGAACCCATAATAGCCTTGCTAAAAACAGGCCTCTTAGTGCCCATAGGGCGGAAAGAGTTTTTAAAAAAATGCTGGAAGGCTACTTGAATAGAGCGTAACAAAAGAACTTGTTATTTTTTCCATCTATACACAAACCATATAATAAAAAAAGGAGTGGACTAAAAATTAACAAAATGGTGTACGCCAATAAAACAAAATTTAATAATAGCTTTAAAACATTTTTTACAAGTTTTTTTTTTCCTTTTTCAATGTAAAATTAAGATCTATTAACAGGACAACGGGTTTCTGTCTCTACTTAAATAATTAAGTAAAAAATTGCATATGATTATTATTCGATTACTTCATTATTTTATTAATCTAATAATATCACATGTTCCATTTTAATAATTTTATTAATGGTTTACTAATAATATATTGTTTATACATTACTTTTCAGCTGTAGATTTGTCTATGGACTCTAATACCTGGCAACACTGTACATTTAAATCGCAATTCATTAGACAAACTACACGTGTTTCATTTTGTTTACATCTCTTACTTTCTAACAGTGTTTCAAAATACTCTCGAAAGTATAGTTATATTGTAAAGAAATCAAATACGTGTATATATATAAATGTGATTTATTAATTAATAAAGAAAAATGTCGCTGTTGACTTCTCTTCGATGTAGACATAATCTTTTATGTCGATCTTTACGAAGATTTTGTCAAACGTCAATTAAATTTAAGGTGCGTATATTGTTTAAACTTTTAATTTTAGTTTAAAAAATACATTAACATTCCGCTTTTACACAGTCGACTGAACAGAGAGTTTTTTCTGGTATACAACCATCAGGAGTTCCACACATAGGTAATTATTTTGGTGCAATTAAGAAGTGGATAGAACTTCAAGATAATGGATATGATTGTGTGTTTAGTATTGTAGATCTCCATGCTATGACTACAGATTACAATGCAGAAATTTTAAGGTAAATTAGTTTTAAAAATAGGTTAAGTTATTGGAATTAGATGATATGTTTTTATGAAATTAAATCAATAACATTATATTTATAGCTATTTAAGGCAGAAAAAATAAACTATAAAAACAATACAATATAATACATAAATAAGTGAAATTCTATGTAAGAATATGCTTACCATAAAATCGTGAGGAAATCTTCAATTTGGAGCCAAGTATATGTGTACATAGCTTTTGCTTGTTGACTTTTTCTTTTTCTTCAATAGGTATGCTCTACAGCTCTGTAGAGCATACCTATTGAAGAAAAAAGTCTAAGGAATCATACCTCTACAAGCAACTCTTTGCGAGATACAGTTCCTCAAAATTGGGTCATGTGAGATCACAAGTTGCATCACTCTGTAAGACTATTGCATTAGCCCACGTGATTATGCTGGCTTTGAGTAACCCACTTGACTGTTCATGGAGTACTTGATGTTATATAGTTTTAGGGGGTGCATGACTACATGCAGAACATCAGTCGAGGTGAGCAATAGCAAGCCTTGATGACACAGAGCATGGAAAATAGGCAGTATACTGATATGTGTTAAAAACTGACCTTTGGAGACGAATATCTCTCAACGGGTCACATGTACAGGGGTCAAAAAAACCCCTCATTAAGAGTTTGAATCTTACTGCAAATGTAACTTTAAGAGATTTAAATACCTTATTGTTTCTTTGTATCCCCTCTACAGGTCAATCTATCAAATACTGAAAGCACATAATCAACCCTGTAAGTAACTACCTTATTGACAATAATTTTGGAATTCCAGACATTTAGAGACCTGAAACAAAATCCTGGACATATGACAAGCCTAGTAAAGAATATTATTATTTCTAGTTTTTAAAATAGTTATCTTAATAATTGATGGAAATCTTGACTTCAAAAGTTACATAATTAACATGAATAATTCCATAAATTATGACACGATTACAAGACTACATCCATTTCCAAAGTGCTTGCTTTCCAATTTTTAAAATAAATTTGTACATTTCTTAGAAAAAATGTTAATCTAACACTAGTACAGTATCATCTATTACCTTTAGATGAATTATATTTTAATTTTGTTCAGATAACATAAACCAGAAATAAAAATTAATACAAGTTTCATATATTTACAGTCATATTTATACAGTCAAAACTCAGTTTTTGTACATAATTCATTCCTAAATGTTGTTCTAAAAAACAAATTTTCCCATAAGAAACAATATAAAACGAATTAATTCTTGAAACCTAAAATAAAGTCCTTTTTTTTTACCTTCTTAGATGAATTTTTAGGTGTTTTTAGCATGAAATACAATGTAATATTATATATAATATTACATGAAATACAATGTAATATTACATATAATATTACAATATTAATATTATATCATATAATATTATATATAATATTACATTATATAATATAATATTGTATTATATATAATAAATTTTTGTTATTTAATTTGACTTAAGCATCTTTAAACAAGAATTGTTGGATGCCATTTATATTACTTAAATGTTGATTAATGCAATTTTTATTAATTAATTTGATTTAAATTCAACTATGGTTCATACCAAAAATCAGAAGCAGTATCTTTCCCGTATGTCCATTGAAATCTAATTTAAATAGTAATGCCATCAATGATTTGTGTTGTTACGTCTAATGATGCAGGCGATCTCAGCACCACTAACTTCTGAATCAGTAGTCCTGTGCTGTTTGGCCAGACCATCAACTTTCTTTAACATAGTAAGTATAGGGAGTTGACCATCTGTGTCTCTCTAATCTGTGATTGGCTCTTGCCAAGAAGCTAGTTCAACAACTGAGTATCACAAGACAACTGGGGAAAATATGAGTTTGATATTTTATTTGTGAACCAATTTGTTTGAAAAGTGAGTCATTCGAAAACCGAAGTTTGACTGTATGTTAAATATGTTATAAAAATTTATAATAGCTATTCATGTTAAATATTGTTAAGAGAAAAATCGCTAATGAAACTTATATAAAAAAACATGTTTAAAGAAATCTAATATTATAATAATTTAGTCTACTTTATTTACTTTGAATTTATTGTGAGTTATTAGTATTCTTAATTCTTGACTTTCCTTTCAGAGAAAATATATTTACAATGACAGCATGTCTTCTTGCTTGTGGAATAGATCCAGAAAAATGTATTTTATTTTTACAGTCTGAAGTAAGTTAATATTTTAAAATAAAAGATTTAATGTAGTATTATAAACAGCATACTTGTAAATTCACTAGCACACTAGCATAAAATTCTAGCAGAAAAACTTTTAATCAAAAGCATTTTGACCTTATTTAAAGGACATCTTCCTGCTACACAGCATTAAATATTACAAAACAGCTTAATGGCATTCAATAGAACATATTATCAAATTTGAATCAAATTGAAAGTTTAAAATTTTCTACTTTTAGAACATTTTAATTTACATCATTTAAAAAATAACCAATACATTAACTTAATTAAATGTAAAATAAATAAATAAATACATAAAGATGTTTATTAGTTTAAAACATAACAAACTGCATGAAGCTTTCCAAAGCTATAACTTTGGAAAACATTAACCAAAGTCTATATAATTTTATTTGTTGGATTATTATAAATTGGGAATCCCATTGTCTATATGAATGCTATGGAATCTCACATATTACCATTAGACCAGTTATACAGTTATATATAGTTCTGGGCCAATTATTTAGCAAGCTTGGGACTGGAAATGGTCTGTTATTGGATATGAGTTAAATGTATACTTAAAATATAAAATAAACAACAGAAAGTTAACAACAAAATTGTATTTAACACATACAAATTAATATCCTTCTAAAGCAGAGTCTGTTTGATCATTATTAATCTTCTTAAAACATAGAATACGAAGTCTAGTGTAATATGCATTATGAAAATTAAACAAAGAAATGCAAAGAACACAATGGAACTGATGGGATAAATGTCACAAAAATTGAAACAAAGTGGCCACATGGCAATTACAGCTGTGAGCTACAAACTTCCAAATTCAAAAATAGCCAGGTTATTGGTCTCTTTTTGTACTTTATGATTAAAGTTTATGCATCTGTTCGTTTTCACAGACAAATATTGGGTTGTTCGGAAAGTAAGTTCGTTTTTTTTCCGTGGGAAAAAAAACAATATTTTTATAATAAATAAATATTTTATTGAATTATATATCAACCATTCTGGTCAAATACCTGTTGTCATCATTTCTGGTAGTAGCATGATTTCACATTCATAAAAGTTTTGATTGTTGCTTACAAAAAACTGATCCAAGTGATTTTTGATATTGTCATTTCAAGTAAATGTCTTGCGGTTAAAAAAAATCTGTACAGACTGGAATAAGTAATAATCTGAGTGTGCTCGATCTGGCGAATATGGTTGATGTGACAGCACATCCCATCTAAGTTATAACAGTTTCTGACCAGTTACCAAACTTGTGTGAAATTTGACATTATCGTGGTAAAACACTACACCTGTTTTGTTGATCAGTTCTGGCCACCTTTTCTGTTTGATGATATTACTCAATTTGTTTACTCGATGGCAGTACACTTTTGAATCAATTGTTAAATTGTATGGTAAAAGCTCCAAAAAAAATTTCCTTAAAATCCCACCAAAGAGAGCATCTCTCTTTAAGAACATGTGGAACCCATATATCGAGCTTTGAAACGAAACCAATTTGTTTCAAGTAATCATAAACAGTTCAATTTGACAAATTTAATCTCTTAGTAATTTCATGTGTTGTTATTTGGCAGTTTGCCTCAAAGCTAGCTGTCAAAATATATAATGGCAATATGGTATAGAATGAAAATGGCGGGAAAAATATGACTGATCCATCTAGTGGTAAAAAACAATGAACTTACTTTCTGAGCAACCTAATATATTTTTAGCTGTTATAATATCTTTACTTCTTAAGGATTTCTAATTAGTCAGGGTATCCTGGCCATGCATAGGTTGACTTGTATCACTAATATGCATCAGTCCAGGTTCGTATGATGAATTTCATACTTGAAAGGGCTTCAAGACTAGCTTGTTATTTAGATCTATTGACTTCTTTAAAGCATTTTTGTTATAAAAATTTTTGTAGCAATGCAGTTTTTTTTTCTTTTGTTTTGATAAATGATGACAAAATAAAAATCATTTTATTTTGGATATATTACAGTTGTATTTTCTTATAACATATTAATTAATTATAATAATTTGAAAACAATTCACAGGAGTGAAATATTATTGTTCTTTAATATTTATATAAATTTTAAAATACATCATATTTTGTAAAAAATATTTTATAAATGATCACTAACAGTGTTTTATAAAACAGTTTAATGCCAAATAACAATAATTATTAAAAAATATTGACTATCTGAAACATGTTTATATTAATTTTGAAATAAATTTTAATTTTTTTTCACTTAGGTTCCTCAGCATACCCAACTAGCATGGATTCTTGGCTGTCTAACAACTTTGCCCAGACTATCTCGATTACCTCAATACAAAGTAAATATAAAAAGGAAGAAAATAAATTTTAATGTCTTATTTATATTAAGGAAAAATTTGTATTTTAGGAGAAAACTGAAAAGCTTAAAGATATACCTTTAGGCCTATTTATATATCCTGTTCTTCAAGCTGCTGACATATTGTTGTATAAGTAAGTACATTAAATATAAAATTAATTATTGAAACAGTTCAGAAAATATATATAATGATTCTTTTAGTATAAGTTAACAGGATTATTTAAATAGAGAATGAATTGAAAATTAATGCTGCCAAATATATCGATAGCACCCAAAATTCTTGAGTCCACTAACATGAACTTAGAGCACATAAACTTGAATTAATGTATTTGAAGTTTACAGCACTTAAATTGCTAATTTATACATATATACTTTAAAATTGGACAAATTGAAAATGCGTCATTCAAGGCTATATAATAGAAACATTAATTTCAATTTGAAAAAATACTTCATTCATATATGATTAAACAAAATCTATTTTGTATGGAAAAATATATATCATGGATATCAATAAAAAATTAGTATCCATTTTTGAAGTGAATGAGCCACTATTCATGCTTCAAAGAGATCAATACAACTTATTTTAAACATTAATCATTAATTTCATAATGATGCTGTTTTGTTTCAAAAACTGGAAAACATTATTTTCTTTATAATAATGATTATAAAAAAAGTTAATAGTGTAAAAATTTTCAAAAACTTCTTGTTCTGCAGAACTTTTGAATGTATATACAATTATACAAATTATTGATTACTTTTTATATTGAGTAAAAAGTTTAATATATAAGAAAGAAAAGAACTTAACACTAACAGTAGTTTCAAAAATTAAGTATGGTCTTTCATTTAAATTTTTTCTTAAATGAAAAAATTGATATATTTTATGGAAAATTAATCTGGATTTAAGTTTATGTGATAATGACACCATTATTTAAGGAAAATCTGATTCATCTCTAGACTGATAATATATCTAGTAATAATTAAAAATGTATTTATTAGTTTAGCTAACTAATATTTTTTGAAAAATTCTTATAAAGTGCTAGCACTGTTGTTTTAATTTTAAATGAACATCTTACTATAATTTTATTCATTTTGTATTGATAAGTATGTTTTCTATAACAAGAATTAATGATGATAAATTTTTGCAGTAATATTAATCTAGCTTTATTTTAGTAATTAATTGTATGATTAAAGTTTTGCCTTTAATCCTTGTCTTACTTTTTAAAATAATTTCTATTGTATTTTGTTTTCGTATAAGAAAATTTTTAAATTAATTTAAGTGTTTATAAAAGAATTTTTAAAATTATTACATCAAAGATATATATATTAAAAGTATTTAAAAAATTTTTAGATCAAATGTTGTTCCAATTGGAGAAGATCAAATTCATCATATTCAGTTGGCCCACCATCTTGCTCATCTATTCAACAATAAATTCCAAAATATATTTCCCTATCCTAAACCTTTTTATGGTAAGAAAGTTATTTTATTTTAAAATATTTCAGAATAAAAACAGTTTGTTTTTGTATTCACATGTAATAATTTTATTGTTGATTTTACAAATGGTTGATGATCAGAAACATCTTTTATTTGATCCATTATTTCAGATTATTGAAACAGTAAATCAAAATCAAATTTTAAATATTCCTTAACAAAGAATTATTTTTATTTACTAATTAAAATTTTGAAGTCTGAAGATATTATTAATTTTAAAAACTATTGCACAAATGTTAATTTTATTTATTCCTGCAAATAAATGGTATTTTGGAGTTTTTGTCTTAATTTTTAAGTTATTGAATTATTGGAATCCAATATTTAATTATTTATATTAATGTATTATAAAAATATTGTTTACAGATGTAAAAGTAGCTAGAATAAAAAGCCTCAAATTTCCTGATAAAAAAATGAGTAAATCTGAAATAAATCCAATTGGCAGAATTGATCTTACAGATTCACCAGAACTTATTACAAAAAAAATTAAAAGAGCTGTAACAGATTTCACTTCGGAAGTTACTTTTGATCCAAAAATTCGTCCTGGAGTCAGCAATCTTATAACCATTCATAGTTTATTTACTGGATTGACTGTTGAAGAAATATGTGCACGTAATGAAGGAATAGAGACGGCTCAATATAAACTTATACTTGCTGAAAATATTATAGAAGTTCTCAAACCAATACAGAAAAAAATTCAAGAATTTATGACGGATAAGTCATATTTATGTGAAGTTTTAAATAAGGGTACAGAAATGGCAAAATCATTAGCTATGCAAACAATAGAAGAGGTTTCTCAAATAGTAAGTCTCAATACAAATTATATATTAAATAAAAATAATCAGAACTTTATAAATGTAGTAAAAGAAAAATAAAAGAAATATTTTGTACATTATTTACATTGGTGAAATTTTATTGACATTACTTATCAAGCTGTATTTATTTAAATAAAATATTTTTATAATAGATAAATCAAATGAAAATACAATAATTTTTTTAGTTAAAGGCATGGACTCTATTTATAACAAACTGTAAACATTTAAATTTGTCAAATGAAATATAAACACACAAAAAATATCATTTATCTCAAAATAGATAACTCAGTATAAGTTTTAATTGTACAATAAAATAAAATCTCAAAATTCAGAAAATCTTATGAGATCTTTCTTTACTTTTAACAATTAGTATAAATATTTATTATTAGTACCATGAATTGTAAAATAAATTCGAGCACTGTTTTCCCCAGAAATTACCAGCCAAATGGAATGGAGTAACCAGGTAGACAAAAAAATTAAAGTAATTAACTTCTATCATCCATTACAATTCAATGTTAATTTTATACATTCAAACAATTAAGGCTTAAAAAATGAAATGACAATGTCATCCTGTCAATTATATTTCTTAATGTTAGCTATATAGCAACACATTAAATTAGCTAAATATTATTTTAATATGTATTATAAATATACAACAAAATCATTAAGATTATAATGGATGATTATAAAATAATTGTATGTTAAAAACGGACTAGTTTAACAGAGAAATAAATTTGAGGACATACTGTATGAAGCAATTCTTAACCTCATGAATAAAACATTTCTTTTGAAATATATCTTTTGTATATCTCAAGAACAGAATATTTTAAAATAAACTTATTATTTCAAATTTTGAATTCTGTTTTTTAATTATGCTTCTTTAAAACTCTTGTTAAAATAGATTCAATACTAATGTAAGTTAAAAAACATCATTAAAAAAATAAATTGCAGGTAAATAAATAAAATTTATTAAAACTTAACAATCATCAGTTCTTTTGTTGAATTTTTATTTATATTATTGGAAGGTGTTTTGAGATATTCATTCTAATTTCTTCATAAATTTGCAGCATCTCCTGAATGTTTGGTCCATTTGGATTACTACAAAGTTTATCATACAAAGCCTAATAAAAATTATATAATTTAATTATAATAAAACACTTTATCTTCAAATTGTTTCATTAATATAAATAATGTTTAAGTAACAAAGAATATGTTTGAGAAAATACTGAGAAAATAGAAAATATTTTAAACAATTTTACAAATATCTTAGTTTAATTTAAATAAAGTTGATGATGATAAATAAAGTTATCCTATTAAATTAAATATTGCATCAATTAAAAATTGTTACTGTACTTTCCACTCATTACAAGATAAATTATATTTTTTAAATAAGCAAAAATTATTAATTAACACTCCTAAACCTTAAAAGTTCAGTAGTAAACATTTAATAGCAGGCCTCGGAGTCGCTCACTTTTCTCACTTGTACTCACTTTTCTGAAGTATCCTCACTTTTCTCACTTTTTGGTCATTTCTACGTGCTTAAAAAATTAGGAAGATGTGGGACCAATCAAAAATAGTTTTAAAGCCAGACGATCTGCCGAATTATCGAACTATCGGACTAGATTTTTATGGAAAAAAATACTCCGCCCCAGCGGGACTCAAAATCGCAACTGCCGCTCAGTGTTGTTAAGTTATCGTCTGTATTTATACGTAACTAGGTAGTCAGTAAGGCTGTGTACACACTAGGCGTTTTTAAACGCGCGTTTTAAAGAACCAAGAGTTCTACATAGGCGTACACACTCAAACGCGCGCTTTTGGCCAAGCGCGCGTTAAACGCGCGTTGATAGATTTTTGTTAAAACGCGCGTTTTGCGGGCGTCAGCCGAGCGCTTTGAGATATATGTGCTGCCATGTTACTGTACATTCGATCGCGC